TCTCTTATCCAGGAATTCTTATATTTGGGCCATTTTATCTATTAAATAAGATATTTAACTATTTTATTCTATATTTGCTTTTTAAATAATTATATTCTCAAGTAGTTTTTTTAATAGGTGGCTTTAAATTCTTTAACAAATTCCGGACTTAGGTTTTCCGGTATTTACCAAATATTAGCTTTATATAAAAAGCCTTTCTATTTTATAAGGTATTAAGCCGCTTTATTTTATTTATATCTAATAAATAATATTTCAGTTTAATATATTTCTTTTATTTTTTAGCTATTATAAAACGGCTATATTATTATATTTTTCCTATATACTAGTTTATTTTTTTTATCTAAAAGAACTAGAGTAATAATATAGAGATTAGATCCTTGGGAAAATACCGGATATAAGGCTTATTTCAAAATACCGGTATAATTATTATATTTTATAACTAATTTCTATTATCTGTTTCTAATAGAATGGAATTAATTATAGAAAAATCAATATTAAATTATTGGAATAGTAATAGAATTTGAATATAATTACTAATATTATTTCTAGACTTTTTTTGTTTTTTTTTATTTCTATTAATAAAATTAATTAGAGTTTTTAAATATTCCGGAAGTATTATAGCTATAATAATAATATAAATATTATATATTTGGGAAAATATTATAATATAGAATTTATTATAAAATACCGGTATATTTCTATTACCTATTTTTAATAGAATTGAATCGATTATAGAAAAATTAATAATAGAATATTCGAATAATAATAGAATTTGGATATTATTATTAATATTATTTCCGGATTCTTTTAGAATTTCCTAATCCTTATTAACTAGGCTAATTGAACTTATTGAATATTTTTTAAGTATTATAATTATAGCTTCTATTTTATTATTCTTGCTTTTCTTTTTTTTTAATAATATTTGTTTGAATATAAGATAATAGTTCTATTACTATAGAAATAGATTATATAATATCAAATTTGCCAGTTATAAAATATTAGAAAACCTTATTATAATTTAATTCCATATATTTATTTTATATTTAATTATCTTAATATTAGCTACTATAACTAAAATATAATATTAATTCCGAAAAAAGAATTAAAAAATATTTCTTTATAAAATGGATACGGATATTCTTTAATAGAAAAGAACTATAATAAAAAAAATATAAAATCTCTATTATAATTATTTTATTTTTTATTTTTTATTTTATTTTTTTAATAGATGGGGCTTTTATTATCCAAGTTCGAAAGTTTTTTCTATAGGCCGAAAATATATATATATATTCTATATATAATATTTATTAATTATTATTTTCTATTTATTATTACTATTTTATTTATTATAAATATATAATAAATAGAAAAACGGTTTTATAAAAATGGTATTAGTTGCCCTATTATAAATATAGCTCCTAAAATATATATAAAGACCTTATTAGAAAAATAATCCGTAAAAAGAATAATAGGGCTCTATTTTATTCAAAGCTGGATTTGTATATAATATTGGAATATATTCTTTATTATAGGCTTTTTTAATATAGTTATTTCAAGAAAAAGCACTTGTAATTAAATAATCCGGCTTATAATTCCGGTAGTATTTAGGATATAGAAATAGGTAATCAAATATCCCTTTATTAATATATAATATCTTATAATATATTATTAGTTTATATCGATTAGAAATTAGATATTTATATAAGAAATATATATATTTCTTTTTATTTTTAAGAATATTTTTATAGATAAAATCTAAATAAACTTGCTATATACTAATAAGATATATATATTTCAAGCCGAATATCTGTTAATTATAATATCTGCTTTTTATTATTCTATTTATTATAGTAAATCAGACAAGGAAAAGATATTAAAAAAAAATATTTACTATTTCAATATAGATATAATATTTAATATATAATCTAAAGTCCTTTATTAAAAGATATAAGTTGCAAAATAGATACTAGATTTTCTTTATATCTAAATAAAGATCTATATATAATACCGGGATATATTTTTTATTATAAGTTATTTTAATATAGCTATTTTTAAAAAAGGTATTAGTAATTCAAAAATCCTGCTTATAGCTTTAATAGTATTTAAAATACGGAAATAAATAGTCGAATATTTCCTTTTTAATATATAATATCTTATAATATTATATAAAGAAGCCCCGACTAGTAAATAATTATTTATATAAGAAATATATGGGCTTTTTTTATTATATAAAGGGCTAGTAAAACTAATAATATTAAAATCTATTATTTTTCCCTTTTTGTTTTCGGGCTCTATTACTATTAGTTAATTAATTAAATATTCGATAAATAAGTCCAAATATTATTTCTAATAATAGGATTTTACCTTTTTTCCGTTATTATTATTATAGCTATAGTATTGAATAAATTTAATAATTTTATTAAAAGCCTTTTTTTTTAAATAGAGTCTAATATAGCTAGTTTATAGAAATAGTATTATAGTAATAGTAGTATTGGCTTTTCCTGAAATATTCTATCCGAAAGCCTATAGCCTATTAATATATTTAAAATATTTACTCTTTTTTAACTTTAGAACCTGGTTTAAAAGATTTCAAATAAGGCTTTAGAGCTATATAATAAGCGGATTCCAGGTCTGGTAATTTGGGTTTACTACTTTTGCTTTTCCAAGATATTTATAAAAATCAGATATATTATTATATTATTTCAAACTTTTTAAATTCTTTCGGAATAGGCCGATTAGAGTATTTGGATCTCTTTTTAAAGATATTAAATATATAGCCCGTTTAAGTCTATTATTACCCTATATTCCTTTATCCGGAAACAAATACTCGAATTACTTTTTTAAAAGATTTATATAAATCTCTATTATCTAATAATTCTTTTCAAATATAATAGATATATTAGATATAATATAATTATATAATATATTAGAAAATACTTCTAGGATTTATAATTAATATTAGAAATAGTTAAAAATTAAAATAAATAAGAATTAGGTCACTTTATTATTTAAATTCATTCCTATACCGATTTTAAATATATAAAAACAAGAGTTTAGCCGCAAACCGATTATAATATATATTTGATATTATAATTTTAGGAAAATATAATAGTTGAAAGGAAATATATAAGTCTTTTTAATTCCTTTTTTCTATTTTAATAATAGATAGTTTATATTTTTAAAGTTAGATTATTAAAGTAATATCTGGATAGAGTTAATACTAGAATCGAATATATCGGCTATAATAGTAAGAGTAATAATGAAATTCCCGAGGCAAATACTTGGAATAAAAATAAAATATATTATAAACTTTATTTTATAAAGGTGGATTAAAAGCCAAGTATAATAAAAGAGTTAGTAAATTAGATTAAATATATTATTATATTTTTGAGTCTCGGTTATTTTAATACTTTTTAATAATCGGAACCTGAAATATAACTATAATCTTTGTTTTTAACCGGTTTTTTGGATCTTTTATAACCGCTAGCTGGATCTGCTTAAATTGGAAATTTAAGAGTATTTTCGGCCTAAAGCTATTAATTCCAATAAAAATAAATATAGCAAGAAATCCGATCCGGACTCTAGATATATAGGAAACGACCTCTAGTCGCTTTAATATAATAGTTATAATACTAATAATATCTTTTATTATTGCTTCTGTTTTCTTAATAATTAATAAGGTATAAAATTCGAATTTCTTTATACCGGCTCCAAAAATCCATTATATAATTAAAAGATTAGAAAGTATAGTTAAGAAAGTAGGGATAATTAGAAAAGGAACCAAAATAAAGCGGGAAAGAGAGGCAATAAGAGAGATAAAGAGGGCAAGAGTAAGGAAGAGTAGCGGTTATATTTAACTAATTTTAGAGATTTTAAAGACGGATCTATAGTTTTATTAATTGGTATAATTTATCTATTTTAACTTTTAAATATACTAATTCGAAGAATCCACTTGCCTTTTATCTTATAATATAATAGTATCTGCCTTTATAATAAGGTTTTTCCAGACGTTTAGTAAGGAATTAGCCGAGGTAATAGTCTGTTTCCAGGCGGTTTCTTCCGGTTCAAGTATAGGAACCTTCTAGAAAGAGTCCTTTATATAAGCCTTTAAGAAAGCCCGAATTCTATTTTTTACCAGATTGCTATTAAGGCAGAGATTAAGCCAAATACTATTTGGAACCATTTTAAGAAAGCGAAAGTAACTATAGATTATAGCTATTAATTTCAAGTTATATTGGGTTTTTCGAAAATCAAAATGTATTCTATCTATTCTATTACTAATCTTTTATAATATATTTCGGTTTCTTCTATAATATTAGAACAGTTATCCAGTAGCTATTAACTATATTCTTAAATAACCTTCTCTTCTTTTATCCTCTTTGCCTTAGAATTACTAGACTGGAGGAATCTTCGTCTCCTTGATAGAGCTATTATAATAGTAGGGCAAAATCAAATTGCTCTGAAATATAAATAGAATAAATATTACTGGACAATTATATTAAGGACGGATAAATAGAAAGGCAATAGATACGGGCTTGTAAAAGCGATTGTATAATCGCCTTTTTATAGGAACAGAATAGAGAAAGAATATAATGAGAGAATAATAAGCAATAGAGGATGGAATGGAAAGACTATAAGAGAGGGATATGGCCACCTTTGGCCAGAAGGGGGGGCCCAAAACGGCTCTTATATCCTGAGCTGGGGGGTAGTATATTAGCACCTGGCAGTATAGACGTATTGAGGCATTTCCTATACTTAGTCCTACTATAGTCTCGGCAAAGGATATGGTATATAGCTTGGTAGTACGGAGGGAATAGCAGTTTGCTACAATTATAGATATCTGGGACCGGGTCTGTTGGTAATGAAAGATGTAGAGTTGCTGAGGAAGGAATTCGCGAGGCGAGAGTCCGCTTAGTTATGGCTCATCACAGCCTATCGAGGGCCTTAGCGAGCCCGAGGATCTGCCGGGGGGGTCCGTGACTTGCACTCTTCTCTTCTCGGTTGATACAGTCTGCATCAACCAGGACGATATGAAGGAACGCAATCACCAGGTCTCTCGAATGGGATCGATCTATAGCCAAGCAGAAAGGGTATTTGCGTGGCTGGACCTGTCTGACGAATTCACGGTGGAGGCATTGGGCTTTCTTCAAAGCTTCGATCCCGAGATTGAAAGTCTGACCGGTTTAATATTCAAAAACGAATTAGCCGATACTGGGAGGGATGCCGAATTCTGGAAGGGGTACGGTCTATATCACTTCGACCATACTGGACTAGACTTTGGATCATTCAAGAACTCCAGCTAGCTTCGGAAGCCTACGTCCAGTGCGGGAAGGACTGTGTTCCCTGGGAATTGTTTAAAGGATTCGTGGCTGATCTGGAATTTAAGGATTCTGACTACCCAGTAGTGAGTGGCCTTAAATTAAGAGAGAACGAGCAAGAGGAGAACGTTTCTCCCAGTGCGAGAAATGAATAGATTAGATTAGATTAATAGGTACTAATCTAATCTATTCATGGAATTTTCTCATTAATCATATTCTATTCACGAATTAATTAAGCAATCATGAATATTCATGAATACCTTGATTAATGTACACGTGACTACAGCACGTGATAGGCTAACCTAATTAGGTAAGGATCTGGCTCTAGTGCTACCTTGCTCCTAGAGAGAAACACTCGCTAAGGCAGTGCTAGAGCAAGAACCTTACTTAATTAGGCTAGCCTCTCACGTGATGCGGTCACGTGTATATTAATCAACGTATTCATGAATAATCATGATTAATTATTCTAATATAATCAAATTACATAAGTATCACGTTAACCAAATTCTATTCACGCTATTCATGAATATTCATGAATTAATTAATTAATCTGATTAATTTTTTGGCACACTGGTTTCTCCGATGTCAAATCTCATGTGGCAGTCAATGGATAAATCTCCCTCAGCGCGAGCTCGTCAATATTTGAGCCTTTTGTGTGGTCAGAATAGAAGGGCACAATGTGAAAAGGAGGTGGATAAAATATTCGGGTTGTGGGCTTTGGCTCCTGTTTGTTGACAGAGGCTATTCCGGTCGACTATTCGCTCAGCCTTGATCAAGTTTTGGGCAATGTTTTCGAACATGACAAGGTTGCTCATCACACCCCGTCGAAACATTTAGATCGACGTGAAGGTGTGGAAGGTCTCCGGGGCAGTATTTTTGGAAATCGAGCGCTCTAGACCTAGAGCAGGGGCCTGTGGTTACAGCAAATACTTCAAGATTTGAAAATCTTCATCTGCGGTAAGTATTGAGATGAAAGGGAAGTTCTGATGCCGGGGACAAATCGGCTATAGAAATTTCAAGAACGTTGCTCAGGGTATTTTGACATGTATTATAAACAATATCAGTCTGACGGAAATTGGACAACTCATTTCGCTACCTGTTTCTAGGTTATAACTTCCCAGTTCACCTTTAGTCTTTCCAAATGGCTCGAGAAAGATCACGTGATGTTCGATGTTCGTCCCATTCCTACATTCTGCTTGAAGGTCAATTTGATCTTCTGTAAAAATAGTTCCCAGAGGGCACCTAAGCTTCTCCGAGGGCGAGAACACACGATATATAGTTGCAGCTTCAATTTGTGCTGGACACGAACCGTGGCACCATCCGACATAGCGTAACCTTTCTCAGATGTGATTTTGCTGCCGTTATATCCGATATGTATAAATGGCTTTAAGCTTTAAAGTAGCGCTTTGGCTGACACTTGACGACTAACATCCATCGTGACTGAGAGGTGGCTGAAGCATCTCTCCCACGGCCAAATCAGGTAGTGATCAGGCGGTTTTGTGAAGGGATTGTTCCCCAAGTTACAAATCAATCATTGCTCGGCGGGGGGGACAATATCACCACTCTCTAACCTCTCACAAAATGGAGCAGCGCTCTGGCTTGCCTACAGAGCTGCATAGAAGCATCTAGCTAAACTTACCTATACGGAGATCGCGGCATAAAGCATCGGGAATACAGGGCATTGGAAGACTTTAGACCCTCTAGCGTACAGATCAAGGTAGCAAACTCGCTGTAAGACCCTATATTTTCACACCCTTCCCCTAAAAGTTCCCTATGCGCCTTCAAAAAGGGCTGCCACGCCTTTTTGAGGGCTTCTCCCCTGTACTTACGAGGGAGTCATTGTTAAGGAGGTTATAAGAACAACCTCGTGGAGTCGTGCACGTCACAACCTGTAATCCTTCCCCATACTAACATGACCTCCACTGGTGCCATCAAGCGGGTCTCTACACCAACCCCTAGCCAATCTCCTGCACCTCCCGTGGAAGACTCTTTATCGCGTCTAGCCAATATCGCTACTAATGTTGGCTTGATTTTGGAGCATTTACTTGGTGGCGCAAGAAAAAGGGAGGATCCGGCGCTGGAAATGAAGAATGCAATCCATTGTAATGGATCTAAAGATAGTAAAGTTATGAATGGAGATAATGGGGGCGATACCCAGATCAGCAATCATGCCGGTTACCCTTAAATCAACTCGATATTTTTGGTGGATCCTTGCGAGAGATTTAGTTAGGTACAAACATTAATATCTGAGAGACGTAGAGACTCCGCCAGGGGGCTATGAGAGATTAAAGCTGCAAAAGAACTTAAAGGCTACAAAACAGCCATAATCTCTTCCAAGCATTGTAATACAAAAGTCAGCGCTCGGAGTGCAACATCAACTGAGGCTCGCTGCGGTCCATGTTCGTTAACTTCATCGAAGTTTGAATTTGGCTTACAGAATGCAAAAAGATTTACTTGTTGTAATGGATATTGTTGATTGCTCATTAACTTCAATATTCTAAAGAGCTAATTATCATAATCCCTTACTCACTCCTCGCATACTCCGCCTGCTCCATCTCCTGCAAGAGAGCAATCCTCTGCCTAACAACCTCCTCGATCCACTTCCCTTCAGCCACCTTCTTCCTCTTCCACTCCACCTCATCAATCTTCGACCTCCCCTCAACAGCTTTAATCTCCGCCTTGTGCTTCACAATCAACGCCTCTATCTTTTTCTTCTCCCTCTCGGAAATATCCTGCAGTTGTCTCCTTCTGTAAGAATCCCAAAATTTGTACTCCTTATCTTGTTCTGCTCTCAGCTCATCTCTAGCGCCACGGACTTTGTATTCGCCCTCCGGCTTTCCCTGCCAGTATGCTCTGAGCTGCTCCACGTACTCATCTTCGATACGACGTTCTTCGGTAAAGCGGAGTTTGTACTCTTGCTCGAATTTGTACTCCGAGTCCGAAATTTTCTGCTGCGACTCCGTGCCTAGTTGTTGGATTTCCGCTGGGTGGCGAATAGAGAAGGTGTGCAATGCATCCTGGCGGTCCTTCTTCAGAACACTGGCTTCGAATTCATGTCTCTCGGCCATCAGCACACGCTGGACGTCGTGCAAGGTCTCGAGCTCAGCAGTGAAGCGATGAAAACGGAGGTTGATGGCAGCAATGCGCTCTTCCTCGCGACGACGACGCTCTTCTTCTCGTGCCCGCTGTTCAGCTTCATCCCGCCTTCTCTGAGCCTCAGCTGCTGCTGCAGCACGCTCAGCTTCTCTTCTCTCGAAGTCAGCTACCATTTGTACTAAAAGCCTCTCTTCTTCAGCGGCTGCTCGTTGTCGTGCAGTTTGGGCAACTTGTGCTTGTCGTCTTGCTGTAGCTTCTTGCTGTACATTTGCCAACTGGGCATCTGTGCATGCGCAAGTCCGCCATCTCAGTCCACAGATGTAGCAGAACTCAGCTCTGCATCTGCAAGTCATGTGTCGGCATCCTTTATTGTGTTCGACAAGAGCGTGGCAGCTGTAACATCTTTTCCATCCCTCTGTTTCGGCTAGGTTCATAGTTGCTTGGAGACCGGGATCTTGGGGACAGTCGGTACCGTTGTGTGAAACTCCCCGGCAGATGGAGCATGTCTTCTTCGTGCATTTCGGGCAAGTTGCGCATTGCCGTTGGGTGTTGATATTCTTTGGTGGGATCCAAGTGCTGCAGTTTCGAGCTGAGCAATATACTCGATCTCCTGTTGGTATGGACCATTCTGCTTCTCGTTCCTGATACTTTGTCTTCATAGCGATGTCGATATTTGGCAAGATTTTGTTGGATGGGATTGTATTGAGACAGCACTTCGGTGGCCATTGTGCTTCAGTTTCCAAGGCAGTGCTGTAAAGGTTTAGAAGCTTTCTTATATACAGGTAATGGGGAGTATACTTCATAAGTCTTGCGAAACATTCACGGCAGTAGCTATGGCAAGTCAATTTGATCATTTCTGCGGTTTCAAGGTCTTCAAGGCAAGAAACGCATTCCCTGGACAGGTCAGTTTGATTAAAATGAAAGAAGTTGGAGAGTAACTTACGTTGTTGTTGATTCTTCCTCGACAACTTCTCTAAGGGGCGTTGATGGTCTTGCTGCAAAAAGACTTGATGAGCCCGCTCTGCTATGTGTTTCGTGAGCTGATCTGTCTTTTCGTTTGAAGAGAGCACCAAGGCCGAAGGTTCTTTTTGTTATTGTTTTTGGGCTTGGCGGATCAGTTTCTGGTGACATAGATGCGTATCCCGAGTCGTCAGATAAGAGAGATGTGGCACTCCCTGCGCTCAAGCGGTCGTTATCATGTTGTAGAGGGTCTAGGCCTCCACTCATTCTCGCCTAACATTTGTTAGTATGTCCTGCATTGTTCCGTTAGAAGTACGTACTTCTCTCCGTGGCTTTACCGACGCTCTTCCAACTCTTGATAAAGGTCTCTCACGTCGTGCATTTGCAACTTGTCTCCCTTCTTCTTCAACATGTCTCGCCCGAATTCTTGCTATTGATGGCTCGAGGATACCCCGAACCACCTCGGAGGTGTCATCTTGGGGTTTTAACAGTTCTTTTGGCGGCTCATATCTCTTCCAATCCATTGGTTCCTTCTCCGAGACTGTTGAAACTACCGGTTCGAATACCAAGTACGACGGTGAGCTCGCTTCGTCGTTTTGATCGGGATTTGGTGTCGTGCAATCGAAAAACAGCTCATCTGCGCTGTTTGAGGACGAGGCTGAGGCAACGATTCTGGGCACCTGTAATGAAGGCTGTCCGAGTTGTGTGTTTAATCGAGGATATGGCGGTGGGGTCGACATCATGGAAGTGTTCATATCGTCGTGAAATTCTCTGGGCCAGTTGCCCGGCATAGAAGCAATAGTCGTCATCTCAAGCATCTTCTTAGACCTGAGTAGATATCGGATGGACTTTTAAAGGTATCTTGACAGCACTTGTAGCGTCAAGGTTATCAATCTTCAAGAACCGGATTGACAGACTTGATAACGGGTCTGGGAAGCCCTCGAAGGCGGAACCCCAACTAAGCCGCATTTTGGTGCCCTGTCACCACTCACTGGTTTCTCATAGCCACCCACTATCGAAAGTTGGAGCACCAAGCACGATACCGCACACTGATTTGGGCCCAAGGGCTTAGTGAACCCACTGCCTCATCGAATCATAATGGCGAATAGAGTAACGCGATTTCAGGTCTTGGTGAGGATTCACCCAGTTGGCACGAAATCTGAGTGTGTGGTGGTTGAACTTGCATGTGGCCTCCCACAGCATTGTGGCGGAGTCAACCGCTGGGCTGCCCACCAGTCTGTCTGGTATGCTGCCTGGAGGGATGAGCACGAGATTGGCTGCACTGCCCCGAAACGAGTCAATAGAAGGGAATAAGGGGGAACTCACGGTGGAAATAAGACTCCATCCTTCCCCTAGGCTGACATCCGAGTGAGTGCAAAAAACAAGGCGCGAAAGCTGAATGTTTGCGAGCTGAGAGCTGATCCTCACCGGCCGGTGTCGCCTGGCGCGCGTTTGCAATTGAATCAATATGTCTCGTGATCTGTTATGAGAGAAGATCAGGCTTCAGACGGACCTTTAGCAATGTTGATGTTGCTGATGGGAGATTGAGATGTCGAGAAAGTCGCGACCGAAGGGGCAGTGTGAGGTCATTCTGAACCCACTAAATCCCCCACTAGACCGAAGCCAGGCACCGCGAAGAAGAATCCGCAGGGCCCAACGGCGCCATCAACCTGCACAAACATATGACCCGTTAATTCGAACCATTTTCACCACTTCGTCCGGTACATGCAAGTCTAGAATTCACCTGGAATATTCCAGACAGATTGGAGAAATGGGAGACCAGTTCTAGGCGTGATTAATCGATTGTCATAACAATGTGAAAGGTAAAGTCTATTCCCTGTAGTGCGAATTCTTCTTCGCGTCCCAGGATTCCCCAACGCCCCATCCTTCGACATCGGGAGGCATCACGTCGGAGTAACTCATTCCCATCAAAACCTGACGCTTATTCGATCACAGAATTTCTATGATAGAATCCATGTTCATCTCTGCGGGGATGAAATTTACGCCCGGCAGTATGGACTGAGTGCCAAGTTCGCCCAGTTTTGTTCACCAGGAAATCGGCTGGTTCATTGCGTCTCCAACTTCATCACATGAACCCCACATGGTGGTGGAATGCAATTGGTTTCCTACCAAAAGTCAGCCCATTTGTATACTTTAAAAAACTCAAATTTGGACCATCAAGAGAGGCGGGTGGAAGGATCCACAAAAGAGGCTTCAAGATTGGCGTCGAGCCGAAAGGATCACATATAAGCCACCCATGGCACGCCAACATGAGACTTCAGAGATGAATCAATCTCCTAGCTCTGCCACGAGTGCTCGTATTCCTTCTTCATCTCCGCTGCAAATATATGCCGCAGTTCTGCATCACGGCATGCAACCGTGCATGTGCAAGCATGGCGTGGTTCATTAGATTCCAGAAAGCTTGTGGAGGAAGTCGAACGATACCAGACCACGAACAAGTTTGTAAGAAAGAGTTCTAATGACAACAAGGGACACAGAATTTTACTTTACAACTTCTCAATCACGATCCACAGTACCTTGCCAGCATTCTTCTCCTCTTTACTCTTCTTCGATCCTTTCCCGACTTCCTGGTGCCTTCGACGCCGCCTCTCTCACTTCCATCGTCGTCAGTTTCACTAATTGATTGCTGGTCCCTCCCACGCTTTCACTCTCTCGCTTCCACTCCTTCTTAGCCCTTTTGTCATGATCTCATCGTTACCTCTTCCTCGTCATTCTCCGCGGTTTTCTCTCTCCCATATACAGCCTTCTTCTGATTCTTCCTCGCCAATCCTTCCACCTGCCTCTCGCTTAGTTTAGCAAGCATTGTCGTTTGCTCAGCTGGACTCGACACTTCTAAGTCTAGCACTGCATTATACTCCCTCACAGCCAACAATTCCCTCTCCAGCGTGCTCATCTACATCGTCTCGGGCGTCAGAGGAGATAAACTTGGCTTCGTATCCGGCATGCCAAGGATACTTCGCATAGCCTCCGTCAAAACAACGTTGACACTCGGCCGTCTTGTCTTGAACATATTCTCACTCCCTTCCTCCATATGCATGTCTATTCTCGACTTACTCACGACAGCAGTGCCAAGCTTAGCAATGGTCTGAATTGCCGTCCCAGCGATCCGCGCCTAGTGGCGAGGAACTATGCCAAGGAACCCTCTAGCTGAATTCAGCACTTGTGTGGGAGGGTTAGCTGTTAACACGATGTTAAATAGATAATTGATAGTATTATAATCTTTTGGCAGCTCGGGCCAGATAAGCTGCGTAATGGGCAAACCAGCCCGATCATAATCTGTAAGTGGATTTCACGGCTATAACCCAGAGCCAGAAGCTGAGCCCTCCTATCGCTTAAGCTGCCCCCTACTATTAATTAGCGCAAATACCCTTGTATTTTTCCATAGTAGGGATTAGTTTTTTGTATATGCTCGACCTTAAGATATAATAGGTACTTATTTTACTAAAGGAATACTACCCCTCCCTTCTTTTGAAAGCCCTCTTTTATCCCCGACCCCCCCTAACTGCCCGCCAGGCATACTTCTAGTATATGTTTGACCTTTATTACTAAGAAGCATATAAGGAAGTTAAAGCACCTCGACCTTTATTACTAAGAAGTATATAAGTAATTTAGAATATACCTCACTTTATTATTGCTATTATCTCTAGCATATGCTTGCTAACCCTAACTCGTAGGGCCTTTATACTCTAACAGATTACTATACGGGGGCTCTCACTCCCCTAACCCCCCGGAACTAACCCGAATCTTCCTAGCCCGTGCATATACACAGCATAAGGAGAGTATATACTAAACCGTAGTAGAGAAAGCTTAAGCGATAATAGGGTTAGCTAAATAAACGAGCATATGCAGAGTTTGATAGTAGGGGACAGCTAAAGGGATAATAGGGAACAGCTAAAGCAATAGTAGAGAATAGCTAAAGCAATAGTAAGTAACAACTAAAACCTCAACCAGAGTATGCCTTAAGGAAGTGCCCTTTCGCATTCTCAACGGCTGCCTGTAGTAGGTGTTCCGAATTCAAGCTGGTATCCGTCGAGATGCGAGGCGAAAACCGAGACTTTGCCACGCTACGGAGTACATGTAACGTGCCTATTATTCTCCAACCATGACGTGGCGACCTCGGTCTGGCCAAAGAAAGTTTCGGATCTAATTCTCCTGGATTAAAACGACCACTAGCGCCTGAGTTTTTATCCCTCGCTCGTCTAAACCTGTCCCAACGAAAAGTACACTGTGCGGTGCTGACTTGGCCAACATCCTATGCCTCTGGAGTGACGACCTTCTTTTGCTTGACACTCTGCCACCCCATTCCCCAACAGAATACGAAGGTTCCCGCTGAAGCCCCGGCAGCAAGATAGAAGTTCCGGTTGAGACCTAGATTATACGCTTCCAACACCCCCTTGACCTGATCCGGTTTCACAACTCGTTTGATCGCCGAAGCGCCAGCAATGATCACAGCTTGGGCGTCAACTGTAGGGGCAAACTCCTTCAAGCCGTCGATAAGACTGCGACTAAAGATCGTTTGTGCAAAGGTGAGAAAAAGAGTTCCGCCGAAGTTTTGGCTGAAGGCCACAAGAGACATTCCTACCGGGATCTGTGCTGGTGGGACGACGTTCTGGATGGCAACGATGGGCTAGCGAGATCAGCATCAGGATATTTTTTAGTCAATATTAGCTGTGGATGGATACACACCATTGCCATACCACAGCCTCGACCAATACCTGCAAGGAATTGGTAGCTCACCCATTTTGCAGTAGTGGTGCGTGGTGTGAAGGTCGATACCAAGCCTGATGCCACAGAAACAATTGCCCCACTCGCTGCGATCCATGGGAGATAGTATCCCAATTTACCAACTACCACCAGGTCAGCGGAGACATCTTAAGTCTAAAATTGGGAGATTCACCTAAAACGCCAGATATAACAGCCATCAATATCTGGCTCGCTATGCCAGGTAGAATGCACAATCCACTCGGGGCAGGATTCACCCCTTTCACAGCTTGAAAGTATATCGGCAAGTAGTACGAAAATGTGAGCAGGTTACCAAAGAAGAAACCAGTGACCAGACAAGACGACCAGACTTCCCTTCTCTGCAGCATCGAGTAAGGGATCATGGCCTCATCCCCGAGTCGATATTCCCATACCACAAAGCTAATAAATGTGCCTGCTGCCCCGCAGAGAAGTCCGATAATAATCGCACTATTCCAAGGATATTTGGTTCCGCCCCACTCGAGTGTCATGAGGAACATGATTGCACATGGCGCGAAGAGGACGAACCCCCCAATGTCGAGTTTTGAAAGTGTTGCAAGAACTGTGCCCTTTTCGGTTCTGTCTTTGTCGAGACGATCGGGTATATGTATGAGAGACAGAAGTATTGCGGATATGGCACCAATTGGGAGGTTTATATAGAAGCCTGGAAGTGTGAGCGAAGGTCTTGGAAGGGGAAAAAAGGAACATACACCATCTCCAGCTCACGTACTGGGTCAGCGCCCCTCCGATCAAGGGGCCACCAACAATACCAAATTGGCCAACTAACGCAGTCAGAATACAGAATATTTTGGACTCTTTCTCTTCGCGTAAACTCACTTGCCATGATGATGCCCATCAATGCTGGAGATAGAATTAGCATTTGCATTTCAGTGACAATTCATACACAAGAGAGTACCGGGTCGTTTATGCATCGGAGCAATTGCTGCTATGATAGTGAGCGACCCGTTAGTGAGACCAGAGGCGCCCAATCCGGCAATGGCCCTCCCAACAATGAACATGCTCGAAGACTGAGCCACACCACCGATCATGGACCCAAATTCGAAAAGGCTGAGAAAAGCAATGAAAGTGATCTAGTACAATTAGCACTTTAGCTAGAAGCGGGAGGCTGAGCTCACCTTGGAGCCGAAGTTCGAGTAAATTTTTCCGGTTGATGGTTGAAGGGCACAACTAAATGCTCGGTTACTTTGATATACCATCAAGTGGGGTGATTTGTGGCTACTTGCTTTGATAAAATATATGCGCTGCCATACCAGCCCACATCGCCGAGGGAATGAAAGTCGGTTGTGATTCGAGGGATAGCCTGCCATATTGATGAGCATGTCCAGAGCGTAGCGAGGATTATGAAGACTAACCGTTACAATAATCGACAGATCCAACATCACGAGGAAGGCGACCAAAGTAACTGCGACGGCAGCAAGCCACAGCTTGACACCCGTGACATATTCATACTCTGTCTCGGTTGGCTCTGGAGCTTCGGCAAATTTTGTGTTGCTCTCTGAAGGCCTTTTTGGATCTGATGAGTCCGAGACACCAATCCCCTTCCCCGAATCGGTTGTGCCCTTGAAAGCGATTACATGATCGACGCATTCTTTTTCTTCTTCTGCCGTCATGGTGGAAGTGCTGCGATATCAGCGAGGGTTATTGGTGAGGAGCAGGAAACCCCGCTTATCGCCACATTACGGTGACATTGAAGGAATCGGCAACATAGTAAAAAATTGGAGGATTCTAGGCATATATATAGGAATGAGAGAGAAGAAGCATCAGGTCGAAATTTGTGTAGATCCAGCGTGCAATTCCCGGTGCGAACCCTCAGTCGGCGTTCGGGGTTTAATATCCAGGGTCAATTTTGTTGCCCCGGTCGCAACCCGAAAAAGTAGGGCAAAGGTGTGCGCAGTCTATAAGAGGCCTGTAGTGAGGTGTGTACTAATTAACTATGGATTTTTCTTCTTCTTTTGAAAATAGTCTTTTTAGAGGTGGATCAAGATTAGAGGGCCGAAGGGGAGGTTAAACAAAGTAGGACCGAATAATAAAGCCGGACTTAAATAAGAATTCTTAATAACTTTATTTCCCTTCTCTAATAATTCCCCCCTAAAAGTACTTTAAAAATATAAATTTATAAGGAAATATATCTTACTTAAGTAATAAACTTTTAATTCTTATTACGCGATTACTTTTATTTTATTTTATTCTTTTATTAAGCTTTATTTCTTGGTTTATATATAAAAAGTATATTCTTATATATTATTTTAAAGTTCTTATAAGGAATTAATTTTACTTGTTTAATAAAGCCTTTTATATATAATTAGTTCTTATATAATAGAAGTTATAATTTTTAAGAAAACCCCTTATATATAATTAGTTCTTATATAATAGAAGTTATAATTTTTAAGAAGACCCCTTATAAAATTAAATAATTATATAAGAAATACTAAAACTATAATTTTAATCTCTTATTTATAACTCTTTATATTATAATTACTAATTTCTTTTAAGAATCTAATTAATTAATATTAATATATATAATTATAATTCTTTAATATAATAATTATAAATAATTATATATTTTAAAAAATAAAAGAAATTCTGTTTTTTTAATTTTTAATTTTTAGTCTTTAACTTTAATTCTTAAATAAAAGATATATTAGATTAATAATTACGTTTTTAAATAATTAATACCTAATTTATTACGAAGTCTAGCTATAGGCTTGAAAAAAAGAGTAAAGTGGCTCTTATTTCGAGAATACTAAACTAAGGAAAGAAGTATATATAGGTTTACAAATAGCAGGTGTGACAGCTGTTATCCCATAATTGCTATAGACTAGTTTCAAGCTAAGCTTCAGGCTAGGCTCGGCGTTTCAGTGGTTTTAGCCTTATTTACTTCCCTACCACCACACCTCACTCCTCCTTTTCTCCCAAGCTTTAGATTCTAAAACACAGGAAATAAAGATCTTTGAACTTTGTTCCAATGCTTCAGCTCTGCTATTGCCGCAAGTAAGTAGGCGAAGCAGCCTAGCTTAATACAGCCCCATCACGTGCATGGAGCACGTGACAGCCAGGGAGCGTGCAACCATAACGTAGTTCATTTATTCCCTCAGGTCATTGCTTTAAAAGTCTCTGCTCTTATAATACTACAAAAATTCAAATTACTTCTATAAGAAAACTATATATCACTCAAGCAGAATAAAATATTTAATACCATATCCTGTCGTTCTTTCAATTCCTTTCATTGAAGGTTGGGCCGTTGTTCGGAACCTTTGGAGTGTTCAGAAAAGGCCGCTGGTCACATGATCCGTCGGTCGGAGTTGGCAAAATCGGAGATTGCGTTCGCCCAACATCAATGCCCGCCGGCTTTGAGCTCTCCATCTTACCTTCATACTCAAAGATGATCAACATGATTTGAAATCAGTCCACAACCATGAGCTACGATATGTAACATGCTCTACGGGGATTCGGGGAAACAGATTCCAGTTTACGAGAACTTCCGAAATCCGACACGGATGTGCAGATTCGGAGTTTAGAAAAGGTGACCGGCTGGAGATGAACACGATGAACCAATCTCGACACCAGGCCCTAGAGGCTGATCGGGTGCACCCATATGCACCGTATGGAAAAGCTTGCATAAATTGTGCCAAGAGCAAGACTAGATGTGCAGTTGCAACCGTTGGAGGAAAGTGCGAAAGGTAGACAATCTCAAGCCCTTCCGTTTGTATCTGACGCCCCAAAAATGTGTCAGTCAAGATTAACGAGACTTAGATGTCACCGCCTAAACAAAATTTGCCAGCCTGCGCCAAGTGTCCGCAAGAAGAGAGTTCCTAAGAAGCCAGTATCATCATCGTCTTCAAAGACTGCAACATTGGAAGCAAAGCTCGATGGCCTCGTTCAGATGCTCCAACGTTCCCAAACACCAATACCTGAGATGATTCGACCTCACAGCCATATGCAGAGGCAGAACATTTATTCAAGATCAGTTACTTTGTCCTCGAGCACGGCCAGTCAGGCTAGGAACACCCCTCACCATGACGGAAATAATCAAGTAAACACTGACGACAAAGACCTCGCTGGTACCGATAATTCTTCCTCGATGAGACTTGGGAGGCTTGAGGAGTTGGCACAACAAAATGTACAGCCAAGTTTCTGCAGATTTGGACAGGCAGCACAGCATGAATTGAATGGCCGTTTGGCCAGTGTCAATGGACCACTTACTCCCGCGACCTCAACTTGTAGCTATTCAACGGGACGAGATAAGCCCAGTTCCTCTATAGACTATCTTCCGGAGACCGAGGCTCAATTGGAAGAATACTTGGAGTCTTATCGGACAAAAATGGTTCCTTATCTCCCGATTGTCTGTATAAGTCCAGGTATGACCTTGGAAAAACTAAGGAAGCAACGACCCTTTTTATTTCTAGTCATCAGAGCGATATGCAGCAAGAATCTGGGGCGCCAGGCAGCACTTGTACTGGAGGTTAAGAACATATTAGGGACGGAGATGCTTCTGGAGGGATCGAGGAATCTGGATCTATTTCTGGGAATTTTGGTGTTTGCAGGCTGGTGCCATGTTTACATCTGCAACGGACCCATAATATCGACCATTATCCACCTCGCAATGTCGCTTGCGTCAGACCTCGGTCTCACAAAACCGCTTCCGACCGAGTCTAGTACAGTAATGCTGAATTACACTGCACAAGGGTGCCCGAAGCCGATCATTGGTATGATTCCAACGAGAACCATGGAGGAAAGAAGGGCAGTAATCGGCCTTTACGTGGTCAGCTCGGTGTAAGTCAACTTTCTTCTGCTAGGCTGTTGAATTCCTAATTTCGAGGATTAGATGTGCAATATATTTCCAAAGGATCGACTTAATGCGCTGGACTAGTTACTTAGAGGAGTGTTTGCAAGTCCTGGAGGACAAGAAGGAGTACCCAACGGACGGGGTCCTCGTTTATCTCGCCCGGGTACAGTTAATCTGCAACAAAGGCAATAATTCAACAATCAGTGGTTTATTCAGTGATGCGGAACTGAGAGTGCCAGTGGATTTCATTGTGAAAGCGTTGAAATCGCAATTAGATGATTTGGAGCGCTCTATTCCACCAGAATTGAAAACCAACGGTATTCCTAGCCTGCTTCTTCCTTTTACACATACTTTCTGATCTAAAATAGTCACCTTACAACTCCACATCCTCAACACAACCCTTACCATCCACGAGGGTAGCCTCGCCTCTACTCCTAAATCGATCTCCTCCGACCCTTCGGACAAACTTCAAAATGCCGAACATCTCTGGATCTGTTTTACGGCCGTCAAATCCTGGTTTAACTTATTCTTCTCCCTCGAGACATTCCCCCTGTCCAGTTATACCCATTTTTCAATGATGCCTCTCACACAAATGGGGCATTTCCTTGTCGCCCTCTTTCGTCTCAGCATCTTCGAGTCCCCCGATATACCATGGGATCGTCGGAGAGTACGACAGGAGATGAACTTTGGGGATATTTTGCAGCTTGTAGTCGATAGGTGGGAGCAAGTCCCTGAAGCAAACAGCATAGAGATGGTTCCCGGGATGGCGAAGGTTACAAAGGATGGTGTGTGGTCAGAGCCGTCGTTGTTTCATGTGATGAAGAGTGTCTTGGTAGTGCGAAATTTGTGGGAAACAAAAGTTGCAGCAATGACAGCAGCGGATGCCGACAGGACAGGCGGACTGACACCAGAGGAGAGTGAGGGTGTAAATGGACTTGGAGGACCTGGCATGCAGCAAATGGATGGAATGGAGTTTGGGGGTATGAATGTAGATTTATTGGATGATGGCTGGATACAAGATATGCTAGGAGGCGGGTATGGCTTTGGCTTTTAGCTGTATTTTATTAAAGGATCACTGTTACAATAAAATCTTGCTCAGGATGATCGGGCTGGCTTAGGTGAGCTGCTCAGGGGTGCTCAGGGTCCTCAGGTTGCTCGCCTGAGTAAGAGCGGCAAGCTTACTAACCCCACGCGATGCACAAGAAAGAGAAGATTGATTCATGGTACCAGGGAATCCGCGAATTGGTCGATGATGGCTCCCGCGTGGAAGCACATCGTCTAAGACAGGGTGGGTATACACTACGATATAAGCTGCCTGTCGATAATCGAATCAAATTTTCGAACTACGAGAAGCGCGGTCTACTGGCGAATACATTCAGCGTGCGCTTGCCAGCGACCACCGCCAGGTTGTCCCCTCTCTCCTCTCTCCTCGTTTTTGGTGTTCCCATCCATTGTAGTAAAATCCTGTAGAGTATCAAAAATTATATTTTCAGAACAGTTGTATTTCCGGTATAGAAAAAACTACGTGCAACACAATAAACAATGTGCGGTAATGTCATTCCTGTGGAGTTCGAAAACTGGCAATATAAAAACAAATGACGTTGGCATACTTCTTCCTCTCTAACACAAGCTCACAACATTGGATTTGACCGTGTTCTCGCCCAGTCCCCTACACTTTAGCCAGAAGCACCAGCGGTACATGTAATCCCTTGGCTATAATCAATGTTTGCACAGAGATTTTCAGCTGTCCCAGCTGGCGGAACCACTGCCCAGCTCGCAAAGTAGAGATCACAAGTTCCAGCAGGAGGACAGTCAAGATTTGAAACCGCCGGTTCATACCTGACAAACCTCAAAGCTAGTCTACCTGACCAGGACTTCGATCAAGGAGTGAGGAATTTTTGCGTACTTGGTGTTGGTGGTGCCTTGGAAATTCTTGAAGTAAATGCCTGTCAAGCTTGCTGCGCTGGGGTCTGCAGTGCACTCAGCTGCAGTAGATCCGTAGCAGCTTTGAATTTGGGCACCATAGTCGCAGCCACTGACAGTGACTCCATCCCAAGTAACGTTCGAAACGGTGGAGGTCCCGTGGGTTGAGCCACCGGGGTACACTTTGATACCTGCTGCCTTGCTGCAATTGATCACTTAGAGAATCTCAAAGTTAACATACTCGTTCCAGAAATTTGAATGCACTTATCGCTCAAAGACAAATCGCGCGTCTGGTAGCCCATAAGATATTCCGACGCAGCAGAGAAAGATAAGGATATACATACTGGTTGCGCCTGTCACGTATACATTCTTGACCCAGTCCGCGTTCGTCTTACCTAAGGAGCCAACGCTGAGGCCATGGTTGGTACCTGCACAGGTGATTCCATCTACAGTCACATAGTTGCAGCCGGATTTAAATGCAACGCAATCGTCCTGGTTGCTGACGTAGACGCTTTTGATGGTCGTGTAAGTGCTCTCGCCGATATCAAAGCCGTCCGTATTCTTGGGCAAGTTCGTGGATTTTGAAGCCGCAGTCATGGTGAGGCTTGCATAGTTGACATTGGTGACACCTCCTTTCTGGCCAAAGAACACATTGGGAACATTCTTAACCGTGAGTCCAGTTATAGTGATGTCCGAGCCACCGTTGATATAGATTGCAGTCGGTCTGGCGAAAGTCGGGCTTGCCGCCCATTAATCGTAGGAAGTCTGCCCATTCCCATCAAGTATACCGGCACCGGTCAAAGAACGAATCTTGACACCCTTGATTGCGTTTAGATAGATGATTCCAGACACAGTTGCCCAGTAAGTGGTGTCGTCGGAAGCTTTGAGAGTACCTTCCAGTTGGAAATCGCAGTTGACGCATCCAGAGAACGTGAGCATAGTTCGAAGACTGTAAGTCGTGCCTGCTGGAATGACAATCGTGCCTCCGCTGCCACAGGAGGCTATAGCCGCAATAATGGCAGGAGTATCATCCAGTTGATCATCTCCCATGGTTGCTGGAGTACAAGTAGCTCGTTTTGCGAGTACCACTGGACCTGGAGTAAGCTCATCGGTCGGAGCAGCAATAGCTCCAACTAATAAAATAGCAACGAAGGCCAAATGGAGTGAGGTGAATAACATGATGAATAATGCTTAATAGAGATAAAGATTAGGGGGAGACGAAGTCTTTCCACCAAGAAGAGGAAATGGATATGATAGAGAAGGAAATCGAATCCATTCCTATATAAAATAGGTAACCACACTGGGCGACCTGAGGACGGATAAAGTTTTGAAATAATTTCATACATGAAAGGAATCTTCCTTGGTGGAATAGAGTAGAGAGTCCTTCTGCACCAATGATAGAACATGACTTTTTCAAGTCTTGTGATTTTCGGACATTAACTCCTCGATATTGCAGAGACCCTACAGGGGCATGATGTGGCTGAGCAACCCCCTAATAAAACGCGGTCAAAGATCTCCACTTTAGGATACGCGCTGTAAGCACCGACAATCCGTGATTTTTGAGCCTTTAATTCCGTTACGAAGGCGACGGGCGTTGAAAATGGTCCATCTGCCCAGTGCGCCCTGGAACACCAAAATCGCCCTGTACGGAAAGTCGCACCAATCCCCACCGCAACGCTTGAATCTTTCGATTAGAGTCTTATATAATAGGAAAATAGCACGTCAATCTCTTCCGAGATTTCCATAATAATTAAATTTGGGGAGACATTACGAGACATTTACAACTGTGCAGCCCCTAGGGTATCCCAAATCCTCGCTTAGCGAGATGGACCATTTTCAACGCCCGCCGCCTTCGTACGAAGGCGGGCAGCATTAAAAATCGGCCATCCGCTAAAAAGCGAGGAACACTAAAATCGCTACCTTTGGAAAATTACCCCAAATCTCAATGTAACGCCTGAAACTCTTTAAAATGGCTTTGTAAAGTAGAAAAGAAGCATACCTGACTTTTGTGAAATTCTCTCAATAATTAAATATAATACAGAATTACGAGAATTTTTATATTGCGAGAGTCAAGGTTGTGCCCGCTCTTGATTCGCGAATTGAACAATTTTTAATGCTTCTTGCCTTCGTATTAGAGCTCTTTTATTAGAAGCAGTGGCATATAGAAATGAAGAGGAATATAGTAATTAGCTTACTAATATAGCAAAACTTGTCAGGAAGCGAGTCCGACTTCTTTACCTCATTTTCTAGTAATAAAAGAGTAATTGTATTTAAGTAAGAAGTATATAATAGTTGCATTATTTTTTTCTTATTAGTCAAGAAATATGTGTCGATTAGGAAGTTGAGGCGCAGGAAATTGGTGCAATTTCCATATATATTACTACGATCCGTGCGTACTCGTATTAGTTTCATGAAGGGTCTCTGTAATATCGAGGAGTTAGACATTCTTGGGAAATATAGAATGCCCTTGAGAGTGCACGGACTTGTACGAAGATTACGGCATATAGTAACGGGATTACAGGGTATTAACGGCACTCCTGGTGTCCGTTTCTGGTGCACTCGGCCACTAAACTGCCCTATATTTCTAGGTCATTACCCTAAAACACGCTAGAAGACGGGAGCAAGGGGTATTACACTTTTTTGAGGCTTCTCCCTTTTACTTATTCCTCTATCTGGTGAGACATTGTCCGTACTAGCAAGGGGGCCTGGCTCAGACTATCCCTTCGTCCGCCAGCAACTGTCCAGCGCTAGCAAGAGTGTGTTCCCGCACTAAACAGGGGGGTCCCGCACGGCTCACCTAGCATAATAATTATGTACTGTACCTCTGCATACAAATTTATTAGTAATCTACATCAGGCGAATGAAATCGCATCCAGCACTCCCCCTCCTTGCACAGGTTCACATTACAAAACACACACCCTCCAACTGACCGTTTTGGCCTCCCTTCTATAGCTTTCACAAGGACCTTTTGGCACCTTTGTTTATATAAACACCATGCGCACGTGCCCCTGGGGCGCTGTTCCCAGTGTTGAAATTAGGGGCCTGAGGCCCCTAATAGGCTTAGTAAGCCCTGGAACGGAACGCTATGGGGCTGTGCACTATGGGGCTTAGTACCCTGTATAGCTGGAATGCCCTATATAGCTGGAAACGGTTTAGCTGGCATAGGGGTTTAGTACATGTGATTTAGGGGGTTCAGGGCTATATATACGGGCTACTTACTACTATAGAACAGTAGTTAATTCAGTACGTTTTACTTGGTTTACATTGCAAGCACGTGACCCTAGCTTCTTTATTTAGCTAGTTCAATACCCAAATACTAGAGATCAGAATTAAATACCCTCTTATTCCCTAATTCTATTTGCAAGCTCTATAGCTTTGCCTTTTCAAAATACTCTAAAAGCTTATAATAAAGCTCGATTCTGAATTACAAGTATATGTGACGGCGCTGGCTGGGGGCCAAAGGGGGGTGGCTGTCACATGACTGGTTTTACCGAGCTAGCCGGCGTTTCAGTGGTTTTAGCTAGTATTTCCCTCCTTTTATCCCCTCTCCTTCTCTCTCTCTCTCCTTCTTCTCTTTAGCTTAGTATTTTTAATACATGAGATTCTTGGATCTTTGAGCCCTGGCCATTGCCTTAATCCCGCCGTTATAGTATATAAAAAAATACTCTTGCTTTATATATAATTAATATAGCTTATATTTATTTATATAGGCTATATTAATTAGCCAGTAAAATAAGGGCTACTAATTCCTATAAATAGGCCTATAGATTTTATATACCTCTCTAAATTAATTTATAAGATCTATATCTTTTATATTCTAATTATAATTATTAATAAAGCAAGAAATCTTAAATTTCTTTATTAATAAGTTACTAAAAACGTCTCGTATAATTTATTTATAGATATTTTTATAGGGTATTTCTTTTCTTTTATTTAAATCTAAAATAATACTATTATTCTATTAAACTAAATAAAATATATCCTAAATTACTAAAATAATAAATATATTTTATTTTAGCTTTTTTATAAATTAATTTTTAATTATTAATAAATTAGAAGAAAATAGCTTATATAAATAAATAATACCTATAATACTAAATTTATAAGCCTATAGCTCTAAAAATAAAAATATAGAAATAAAGTAATTATTAAGATATATTATTAAATAATAATATAAGAGGAAAAGTACTAGGTTTTATATAAAAGAACTAGTATTTATAAGAATAGAATAAAGAATTATTCTTTATAATCTCTTTTTTCTAAAGCTCTAAACCCAATTATATATATATTTATAATTCGTAAATTTATAAATCTTATAATCTTTTTTAATTTGCTTTTTAGATATCTTATATATATATATAAATCTAAAATAATTAGTAAAATAGTAAAAGAAAAAGAAAAAGAAAAAGATTTACTAAAGTATTATATTATAAGTTTATTAATATTTACTTTAAAAAAAAGCTTAAATAAAGAAAATAAAAAGTAAATAATTTCTATTTTATTTATTATTTATAAAACATAATAATATTATTTAATTTATTATAAGAAAGAAACTATAATAAAATATAAAATATAACTTAATAATAAAATAATATAAATAATAAAATAGAAATAATATATAATATATAAAAGCTTAATTAATTAAATATAAAAAAGAAATTATTATTTAGAATTATAAAAAAACTAGCTTTTTTATATAATTTCTATAAATTATATATAAAAGACCCTAGCCTTTATTATATAACTGAAACCTTAAAACTATTAAAATGAAATAATTTAAATAAAATATAGCTTATTATATTATATTTAACTTTCTATTTATTTATACTTATTTTCTAAATATTAAAAACTAATAGAAAATCTCTATTTAAAATTCGAAATAATAAAATAATTAAAAAAAATTTATATTAGTATTTCTGATTTCTTTTTAATATATTTAAAATATAATCTATTATTCTTAAATAATCTTATTTTATATTTCCGAATTTATTTAAATATAATTCAAATTAGTTTAATTATATTCTTATACTAAATTTAATATAATTCTTTTTATTATTTAGTATTTACCTTTAATTATTAGTTAATTATAGCCTTTATAGCTAGATATTAAAATAGCTTATTATAGCGAATTATATTATAAATTATACTAATATATTTTAAATAAATAGCTTTTTTAAATTTTGTATTATTTATAATATTCTTAAATTAGCTTTTAGTAAAAAAGAAAAGCTCTTAGTAAAAAGCTTTAATAACTTTATAAAATATTCTATTCTTATATATTTTATTCTAAATAGTAACTAGGTTTATTAGAATTATAATAAAAGGCTTTTTAAATAATAAATTATTATTAAACTATTCTTTAATTACTATTTTATTCGAGAATTATTATTTAATTATAATTTCAGATTTATAAATTATCTAACTAAAAGCATTTATTTATTTAATTAAATAAATTATACTTAAATACTTTTCTTTTATTTTTTTATTAAATACTTACTTAATTTCTTTATATTTTTAAGTCAAAATTATTATAAATAAAAAAATAATTAATACCTTTAAAAATTTTTTTATTAAAGAAAATATAATTAATATTTCGATTTTTCTTACTAAGAAAAAACTCGCTATTTAAAATATTAATAATAGCTAAATTATTAATATTACTTTTATATTAATAATAATTAATATTTTTAGAAATATAATATTAGACTAGCTAAAAATAAATAATTAAATAAATAGAATACTTAACTAATATTTTATAAAATTCAAGTTATATTAAGGAATTTATTATTAAGAATTAAAAAACCAAAATAAAATAACTATTATTTAAATTTCTATATTTTAATATATTATTTTTTTATTAAAAGCTTTTAAATATTATATTTCTTAATTTATTTTAAATAATTTTTTCTATAAATATAGCTATTTATACTTAAATTAAAAATACTAGATTTAGAAATAAAAGTTATAAATTCGAGTAAAATTAATTAAAAACCCGATATTTATATCTATAATTTATAATCTTTTTATTTTTTTTAAAAAGAAATCTCGTATTTTTTTATTTTTAGTAATTTTATAAATCTTAATAATTATTTTTAAAATCTTTATAAGCTTAATATTAATTATATAATACTTATATTTATAAATAAATTCTAAAATACTATTATATAATTTCTTAAAAA